ATGATAATCAATTATACATATAATACTAGATGAATATTTTTTAGTAATCCAGAATTGTTTATGTCTTCTAAACCCACAGAGGTATTTTTTATAAGGATTGGTTAAAATAGTAAAATCAAGTATGTTAATTTTTTCAAATAAATCATAAAAAAGATATTTAAATCCCTTTGTTCTAGGAACTATTACATCAGTAGTTTTCAATATTCTATTATTAACTAAAATCATATTGTTTAAAGCAAATAAGTTTCCATCTACTACGCCTCTGTAATGTGTTACACTACCTTCAGGATAAAGTATTAGATTAAAATTATCCTTAAGAGTAGAATTTATTATGTTAAACTCATTTACTTTAGTTTCTCTATTTATACCCACAAACCCAAATTTTTTCATAACAAAACCAACCACCGGTATCTTAAGTAGATCACTTTTAACTACAAAGTTAAAATTGTTATTATTAATTGTGCTTATTGATTTTGTTATGTATAACCAGTCATAATCATTGATATGGTTACTTATTATCAGATTGTTAGGTTTATTCATTCTAGTAAGGTTTTTATTTAAACAAATAAAATACTTGTCTGTTAATGCTAATCCATTGGCTGTCCATAAAACATTAAAAATAAACGTTTTAAGAAAATAAAATATTAGAATTTTTATACTGTTGTTTGGTAAATAATCTGTTATGAAATATGCAAGATAACCAAGATAGCAATAAAATGTTGTAAATAAAATTGTATCCACACATCTTATTATATTAAAAACAATTGTTAAATAGAAAAGCATGGGTTAGTATGTTGTATAATTTAGTTTTATTTTAAAAATATTTTTAACCATAAATTTATGAACACAAATAAGTTTAGACATGGAAATATATTGTCGTTGAAATTAAGTAACTTTCAGACATACGAGTACCAAGAGTTTAAGTTTGGACCAGGACTTAATCTTATAGCAGGACCAAATGGATCAGGGAAGAGTTCTATTGCCAATTCACTAGCTTTTATATTTAATGGTACACCTAAGACGATAGGCAAATCTAGGAATATTAAAGACTATGTAAAGTTTGGTAGTGATAGTGCTGTTATAGAGTGTGTAGTTTGTAAGAAATCACCACTTAAAATTAAAAGGGATGAAGTGAAATCATTAAAAATTGAAGAAAACGAAAATATTAATTTAAAAAGAAAAATCGGATTTAAGAATGGAAAACCGATATCTGAGTTCTTTATAAATGGAGCTCTTATATCTAATAAAGAATATTTTAAGTTTGTTAGTATTTTGAACATAGATTGTAATAATTTAACTAATTTTCTACCACAAGAAAAGGTTAGTGAATTTGTTAAATTAAATAGCAGAGAGCTGTTTACAGAAGTAAGTAATTTCCTTACTTCTAAGAAAGATGATCTATCTTTAATTGAAGATTTATATACCTTACAAAATGAAATTGAATTGTTGAATGTTACAATTAATACAGAGACTAAAAAGATAGAAAGGATAGATGACAATTTAGATGTGCTAGCAAAAGAAATGGAAAAAGAGTTGCAATTTGAAAATAATCTTAGAGCAATTAAGTTACTTAATTATAAAGAAAAGTTAATAGAATCTGAAAAACTTAAGTATAAACTAAGTTCGGTAGAAGTTTCTCTCAAAGATGTAAAACAGAAATTAAAAGAGGAAGAAAAAAAGATTGTAGAACTAGAATCTAAAGTTAAAGAATATGAATCTAGACCAGAACTGGCTAACTATAAAAAGGTTATTGAAGAATTAAGTAGGCAAAATGACAGAATATTTGAAAATTGTAGTAGAATGAATGAATTACTTAAAAAGCTTCAAATAACTTACAATGAAAGAGAAAGAATTGAGAGTGAAAACAGAAGAATCAAAGAGGATAACGAAACAGCTAACATAAGGAAGAGAAAAGAAGAGAAAATCCTTGCTGAACTTAAATCAGATTTGAAAAATAAGATTACTTCAATTTTAAAAAAATCTCAAGATCCTAATATTTTTATAAATGAAAATAATCAACTTAGTTTACCTGAAGAGGCATTTTGTAAAGATCAATCTAAATTTGATTTAGTTTTTAATGATCTTGAAAATGATAAATTTAATATAGAAAATATAGAAGCTATTTTACCAAAAAAAGAATTTATTGAAGCTAAGAGACAAGCAATACAAGAGAAAAATGATAAATTTCAAAGTAAATCTAAAACATTACAAACTAAAATTGAGCAGTTAACTAGAACTAAAAACAATTATAACTCTGCTAAGGCACAAAGAATGGAACTTTTATATAAATTCCATCCTGACACATATAAAGCTGTTGAATATTTGAGAAAGAATGATATCGGTGTAGAATATTTAGAGCCTTCTTTTCTTCATATTGAAATAGCAAATGAATTCAAAGATGAACTAGAATCTTTATTAAGTTTTATTCAATTAACAACTTTCTTATTTAAAAATTCTTCTGATATGCACAAATTTTCAAAAGTGTTAAAAGATCAAATGAAATTAAAAATTAATTTATCTGTTGCTGATTTCAGTGAAATTCATATTCCCAAACCTGATAAAAGAGAACTTGAATTACTGGGTATAGAAGGTGTTGCATTTGATTATTTAATCGCCGACACACCTTATAAAAATTATTATACAACTACTGGTATGTTTAATTACATACCCGTATCTAAAAATAAAATAGATGATCAGATAGTAATTAAAACACTTAAAAATGTAAAAAGAATGATTTTTAATAAGCTTTTTATTGAGATAAAAGGAAATAGATATAACAATGAGATTATATCAAAGTCTGTAGGAATAAAGCCTAGAGATTTATTTAGTTATTCTGTTGACGTAAGTAAAATTGATAAGCAATTGAGTATTTTAGATAGAGAAAGAAAAATTAATTTAAGTGAAGCAGAGAGTTTATTAAATGAAAAGAATAACATAGAAGAAGCAATAAAAATACACAACAATAACTTTGGTATTCACAATATTACTTCAATATTACATAGCATTGTGAGAGTTGAACAAAGTATTAAAGAAATAAGATTAAAGCAACTAATTTATTATGATAAAAATGAGATTTTAAATATAAAGAACAAAATCAAGTCTGAATATAAAATTTTAAATAGTGTTTTAGCAAAGAATAAAATACCTAAAATTAACATAGATAAAGTAAGAGATATTGAATTAAATTACAATAACAATAAAAGAGATTTAAGTTTCAAGAAAAATGCAGTAATAGAAATTAAAAAGCAATATGAAGACAGAAAGAAGTATGAGAAAGAGTATAAAACAAAAGTTAAAGAAGTTACGGATTTTTTAGAGAGAATTGAAGAAAAGGAAAAAGACTATAATGAGAAGGTTAAGTCATTACAAATAAAATCAGTTACAGGTAGACAACTACATGTGGATCCAATTTTATGTTTTAAAGAAGAGGTATTAGATTTACCTGAGGATGAGATTGATATAAGAGCTAAGATTAATTCACTAACATGCGCTAACAAAGTTTTAAATCCCAGAGGTACCATTAAAGGAGATTTTATTTCAAGAGAAACTGAATATGAAAAAATTAAATTTGATATTGAAACAATGAGAAAAAAAAGAGATGGAAAAATTAAAAAATTTGAATCAGATAAACTCAAAATTTATGAAAATTTAAATAATAATTTGAAGATAGTAAGTCAGCGTTTTCAAGGATTTTTAAGAATGTTTGGGTTTGATGGGTTGTTAGAATTAAATTTTGGACAGGAAGATGAAGATAAAAATGATAACGATGAAAATGATTTTAACAGTGGTAAATTTTTAATGAATATTTTTGTTAAGTTTAGAGCAAATGATGCCTTAAGGAAATTATCAGCATCAAGACAATCAGGTGGTGAGAAATCTTTAACAACTGTTTTGTTTTTACTTGCCTTACATGATAACAATACACCTTTTAAATTAGTAGATGAAATAAATCAAGGCATGGATTCAAACAATGAAAAGAGAGTGTTTGAAGTGCTTAAAACAATGAGTGAAACTTCTCAATTCTTTATTATCACACCTAAATTATTACATGATTTTTCATATCCAGAGAATTGTTTAGTAACTATTCTTTATGGGGGTGAGAATATGAAAGTTTTAGAAAAGTATGTTTCATCTAAATAAATAAATTTTAAATATGAATTTTACTTACTAAAGAACTTAAAAATTAGTTTGATATAAAAATATCCAATGAAACAATAGACAAGATATCTATATTTGGATTTTATGTAGTAAGTAGCTGTTTCATATTCATTTTTATTTTTAATATCAACCTCGTCTAAAATTTTAATAACGTTTTCTTGTTTATTAATAAACTTTCCATCGTATTTTTCATTATACTTTTCAAGAATTTTATCTTTATTAGTAAAAGCTTGAGTAATAAAATCATCTCCAACTTCAGAAGATTCAAAGAATTCAATATGGAAAAAGTGTGCAATAGGAAACTTTTCGAATATAAAAAAGTCCATCAATGATGACTCGTTAATATAAATAAAGTTATAAGGATTATTGAATATCGTTGCATCTATTATACCGTCATAAGTAAATGAATCCTTTAAAATATCAAATCCACTAGATCTTGGTAACAAAACATTTTTAGGAATAAAACAAGCTCCATTGGAATGTTGTATTCCAGACTTCTCAGCATATTTAATAGATTTTTGGAAACTCTTAATATCAGGATAAGTTCCTTCAGGGAAGAAACATAGTAATTGCCTATCTTCCATAGAAAATTCTTTACCCTTGTTCGTAAGTATCTCGATATCCCGTTCTTTATTACCCCTTTCTAAGAAAACGTTACCTTCAAATTTAAGAATAGTACCTAAAAGAGGAACTTCACTTAATTCTTTTTTCATAATGAACTTAAAATCCTCTAATTTATCCCACTGGTAGGCCAACACCAACATATAAATCCAATCATAATCACAAATATGATTGGATATTAAAATACTCTTCTTAGATTTAATAACCTTCTTATTAAATCTTACCGTTATAGGAAAGGGAAAAAACGGTCCAAAAACAATAAACACAATGTTAGCTTGCATGTATAACAAAAAGTATCTGAACCATTTTTCTAATTTTTTATTGTTAATTAAAGTTATTACGTAAATTAAAACGGTTCCTAACACTGCGGCAATTGTTATGAAAACTAAAAGGTTTATCAAAATGAAAATTCTCATAAACGCTCTTCCAATTTTATAAAAAACCATTTTAGGGGCTTAAAAATAATTTTTTATTTATTAATAAATTTTAACAAAATTATAAGAAGAATTAAGCTTAAAATTAATATAATAAACAATGTTTTATCACCAAATGATCTGTTCTCAATATCAGCTATTGTAGTATTACTTACTCCTAATCTATTAAGAATACCTTTTAACCTGTTATTAATACTGTTGATATAAACATCTTGTCTTTTAAGATTTTCTAATGAATCCATTCCTTTAGCAATTATCTTATCAATCCTACTTCCCTCATTGCTGTAAAATTCATCGTTTGTTTGATGATCTTGTGACATGTAATTCTCAGAAAAACGTTTAGTTGTAATATTTGCCTCATTTACATCTTTAGAAAGTTTGGATTTGTGTTCCTGTCTTACTCCCTGAAGTTCATTAAAAACATCATTCAGCTTGTTATACTCATCCATCCACTCAATTTTTTCTCCTTCCTCTAAGTCTGAAGTGTTTATTATCCCAAGTAGAGCTTTCAACTGAATATTAACATTCCCTAATTGTGATAAATTGCCTCTACAAACCAGTAAATTATTCTGTATCTCTGTTATTTTCTCTCTTATTCTGTTACTTGAATCCATAATAATTTTAATTAAAAAAATTCAATAAATTTATAAAATTTAATAAATAATTAGTTCTAGATTTTTATTAAGAGATTTGTTTATAATTTGAAAGATTAAATAATTTAAAATATTGGATGAATTTGTTATATGAATGCTTTTTTAATAAAAAATTTTTTAGATTTTTTAATTTTCATTTTCATTAAAATTAATCTAAAAATATTAAATAAATAACAGTTTATTAAATTTTTATTAAAATAAGATAAGAAAATCTTAGGAATTAACAACTAAAACAATTTTTAATTATTTATTTAACTAATTTGAAAATTAAAAAATTTTATTTTAATAAAAAAAATTTTATACCCCAATGTTTATAATAAACATCACCTGTTTATTTTGTTCACTTGAATCATTACAAGAATTTTATCACAAATGTCAAAGTTATCATGATCAAACTTCTAAGTTAAGTATGATTTTAGCATATATTGAAAATATGTTACCTGAACACGAAAGACAAAATAGTGATACTCTTAAATACATTGAATTATTAATGAATCAACAAGATCAAGTTATCGTTGATCCATATGAAATGATAGTAATGTGTTATTTATGTCACTTTCATTCAAATGAAAGTGTTCATCAGGATGATTCTGTTACAAATAATTTTATTATTAACACCCCCATTAGTAGCAATTTTATTTACATCTATGATTCTGTTGTTGAATTAGTTTTGCCTAAAGTGTTTAAAAAAAGTGAATCTTGTATTACTGACAGATTTTGGATGTTTAAACAAAGGTTTAATATGGAAAATTTTAAAAGATCATTTGAAATAATTAATTTTGTTTTCGATGAAAATAATTCTTGTGAATACTCAACTAATAGTCTTCTATATCATGTAATAAATCTAAAGTTTATATACATGAGTATAAACAAAAATCAATGTTTTAGAATTGTTGCTAGATATATTAATTTAATAAAAACAGAATATGATAAAGGATTTAAAATAGATGAGGTTTCATTTATGATTTTTAAAAAGTCTTTACTTGAATTAACTCCAATAAAAGAAAAGAAGTATGTTGAGTTTATCAATATTTTTATTGAAATGCTTGAAAAATCATTTATTTTGTTTTACGAAATAAGAAAAAATAATTCTGATATTGATTCAAGAATGGGTTCTAAACAGAAAGAAATGATTGCTCTATTATTTCATTTTAAGTCAGTTTATAAAATGTATTTAAACAATACGGAATATGAAAAAAACTTTGTTGTATCAATACTTACTAATTTTATTACATTTTTTACTGCAATGTCTAATAGAATAATTAATTACAAGTATCTAATTCTTTATGAAAAATATTTACAATTAGGTTTAATTGATTAAATTTTTCTATTGAATAATTGTTAAATGAATTATATTCATTTAAAGGAGTTGAATATTCCTTTTCCTTTTTAGTGTCTTTGTTACTCTTTTTAAATACCATAATATTTTTGATGGATAAAAATTTGATTAAAACTTAATGACTTTCTTAAAAAACTAATTAAACTATTTTCCAACACAAATAATATTAATAAAAACGTTGATTGTTTTCTTTAATAGTATAAAAATAAAACTTTATTTATTAATTAGAATCATTTTTATATGATAAATTTAAATTATTAACAGAATAATACATTTTAACTCTTATAAAAATAAATTAAATTTTATGTTAGAAAATCAAACTATAAAAATAACAAATTTTTTATTTTATAAATGACAATGATTAAATTAATATAAAAAACTATTGTATTTTAAATTTCTAATAAAATTATTATTAAAAAACAGATTGTAATGATTTACTTTTTTATAATATACCAATTTGATTGTGTTTTATAGAAAAAATAAAATAGTTGGTTTTTAAAAACAAAAAAATTATGATTTTTAAATAATTACATCATGTTTATTGATTTATTATGAAAAGTATTTAAATAATTTATTAATAAAATAAGATTTGATTTATAATTAAATTATTTTTTCAATTATAAATTTCATTTTTAAGATATTAAAAAAGTTAAAATTAACTTTAAATTAACGTTTATTTCAAAATATTTGATCTTAAATAAGGTTTTAATTTGAACTTAATATTTGGGAAAGCATTTTTAAATTGATTAACAAAATCAATTAATTCGTAAATTGATCTCTTCTTAAGAAAAATGTTTCTATATTCAGGTAATAAAGTAAAAGGTTCATATAAAAATTTAAACAAATGTGATCTTATATGTTTTATATCAGCAGATCCCGGATACTTAGAACATATGTTTAAATATTCTTTAGATATTTCAAATGGATCAACCTCTTTAACAGAAAATATAGTAGGAATATACAATATAGGTTCACCTATCATAACCCCATCACATTTAGTATAATTAAGAGTTTTTTCAATATCTTTATGTTCTAGGATACCCCCATTAGAAATAACAGGAATTGTCAAAGCTTCTTTAATAGCCTTAATATGATCTAATGAAACAAGACCTGTATTTTTACCCTTTTGATGAATTGTTCTTCCATGAACAGTTAATAAAGAACAACCTGCATTTTCAATCATTTTAGCATATTCTACTGATTTTTCTATAGAATCAAAAACTCTTATTTTACAAAAAACTGGAATTGTTAATTCACTTGATAATGTTTTAACTATTTCAAATATTCTTGTTTGATCATTCATTAACCAAGCACCATACACTCCTTTTCTTGCACAATGTTGTGGACATCCCAAATTGATATCAATTGCATCATAAAATGATTCTAGTTTTCGAGATGATTTTAGCATTGTGATTGGGTCATTGCCGCAAATTTGAACAACTAATGGTCTGTCTTTACTAACATCACTAAACCACTTATTCTTTTCAAACTTAAATTTCATTCTATTTAAAACTGTCGTATTAACCATTTCTGTATAACCAAAATCACATCCGTAATTCTTTACTAAAATTCTAAAAGCTTCCTCACTATTATCTACCATTGGTGCCAGTATTTTCCAAGGTCTTTTTATATTCTTTAAAAACGTTGGAACTTTTTCCGAATACATTCAAATAACAAAAAATTAAAGAAAGAATTTTATTCTTTTTTTATTTCTGATTTCTTCTTTGAGATAATAAACGATATTACTTTTATTAAGCTCATTACTCCAATTACACTAGCCATTATAATCAGTAAAGTATTATCAGTTTCAGATGGTGTAATAGTTGCAATTTTCTTTTTTAATAACATCATTCTCATGTTAATATTATTTAAATCAAATTCTAACGCCTTCAACTTATCATTAATTCCATTATCATTGTTTTTTATACTCAATTTTCTATTTTTGGCAACACTTGAAACAAATTCTTCTACTTTGTCTTTAGCAATCTTAGCAGAATCAATAGATTTTACAACTAAAGATTGAATTGTTGATTTATCAGACACACCAAAAGCAGCTGCTAAATAGTTTATAAAGTGTGATGCATTTGCTAGTGCCAATCTGATTTCATCATCACTTTTAGTTTTAATAAAGTCATTTAAAGGTGTATGTAAATCCACTGGGTGATATTGATCACTTTCATTTCTTTCTGATATTAAAAGATTGCTTGCTTTAATAGTTGATGATTCAGAAGGATGTTCATAAACAGTTGTAATTCCAAGATTATAGGCGTTAAAGTCCATTTTTAAGTAATTTGGATCAAATATCTTAAAGGTGTCAGAAACTAGTTTGTCATCTCCATAAACTTCCAATTTAAGATTTTTTTCAGTATGAATCATTTTAAAAGTAATTTTTTTTACATCATTAAGTTTCTTCATATTTAAATTATCGTCATGAATAACATGCTTTTCCCTGTTTGTATAATCAATTCCAAAATTGTATGTAAAAACTGTATTAATACGGTTGTATGCAAATTCAATTCCAGCCATGATACCATTAAACTTATTACTAGCCCCCTTTAAAGTTCCTCTCGTCAACTTAGATTCTGTAACCCATAAGTATATACCTGACTTTCGATGATCATGATGTATAATATTATCTATATCAATACTTATAGCAAAGTTGTTAATGTTTATTTTCTCATTAAAGTTTACTAAACTGCCTTCATTATTATCAGATATTAAAATAATTTTATCATCCTTATATTGAACACTATCAGTATCAGCCTTAGCTATAAAAGATGAAACTGAATGAATATTATCAATAACCTTCTCACTGACATATGTATCATGTGGTTCAATCTCTCTTAAAAATCCACTTATATGTTTCAATACTTTCCAATTTAACATTTTTAGTATATTTACAAACAATTTTTTTATTTTATTTCTTTATGTTTCACCTTGTTTATATACAATGATTATGTAAATAAATTTAAATATTATACTTTTAATAGTTTATTTCATTAATTAAGTTTTATTTTAAAATTATTAATTTAAATCTTTATAATGAAAAAAGTAAGTTGGCAACAAATAAAAAGTGAAAGTTTTAATTTAGTGTCAGTTGTAGAAGAATCAATTGAAATAAATCCAAAAGATATTCCAAGTTCTTTTAGTAACCTAACTAACATAATAGTTGAATTGAGATCTCTTAAGGAAGCTTTATTATTTAAGAAAGCTAAACAATTGAAAAAGGTCAGTATAACTGATTCGGATAAACAAATTGAATTATTTGATAAACTTAATGAGAAGATAAGAAAAGTTAAAATAGAACCTTTGGGTGAT